CCCGCGGGGGGGGGGGTTGGGAAGGGGGGGGGGGGGGGGGCTTGGTGCGCGGACAGCAGCCGGCCAGCCCTGGGTCCTTCTCCACGCAGGGCAGGGCAGGGCAGGGCAGGGCAGGGCGGGCGCGGCAGAGCCCTGCTGCCCAGTCTTGGGCGCCCAGCCCAGGCAGCCAAGGGGCCTGCTTGCCCTTGCCAGGGGCGGGGCCTGGTCTCCCTTGCAGGTGTGTCAGGGAATGGCTGCTGCCTACAGGCCTTTCCGCCCCTGCTGAAGCGGAAGGCCAGGCTGTCCTCGGCCCTGCCCGCCTCCCAGGAGGACCAGGGTCTCTGGCCAAGAGGGCAGGCTTTGAACCCGGGACAGCCGCACAGTTGCCAGGAAAGAGCTGCTTCTCCTCCGAGGCGGCTGCCCCCTCCCACCCCCCCTGCCCCAGCTGCCCCCTTCCTCTCCCCGCAGCACGACAAGCAGTACGGCCTGGGCGAGGAGTACCAGCAGCGCTTCCAGAACTTCCTCCGCAACAGGCGCAAGGTGGAGAGGCACAACGCCGGCAACCACACCTTCCAAAGTAGGCAGTCTGCCGGGGGCCTGCTTCGTTTACTTATTGATTTATATTTAGTTCCCACAGTTGTATCCCGGCCATCCCGTCAACGGGCTCAGGGCGGGTCACAACATTTCAATAAACACAATAAGATTTAAAACCCATTAAAACGTGTAAAATCTTCCTTTGGAAGAGCGAGGGCCTCGGCCTTTCCTCTGGCCCCGGGTGACTTCTGACTCCCTCCCTCCCTCCCTCAGTGGGCCTGAACCAGTTTGCAGACATGACCTTTGAGGAGTTCCGGAAGAAGTACCTCTGGCAGGAGCCTCAGGTAAGTGGGCTGCTGTGTCGTCACCCCACCCCCAAGGAGAGGAGGAGTCCTCGGCGACGTGTGGCCCACCTACTGAGGGGACAGGGCGGACGGCACCTCTCCTGCCTGCCCCGTGCCAAGGGATTCGCTCCAAGAGGAGAACCCGCGGAGCAGGGCCGGGTGCTGGTTTCCTGTTGGCAGAGCGGGGAGCATCAGAAACCCAGTGACTCTCCACCGGCAGCCCTAAGCAGTGCAGCCCGCTCGGCCACCTCCAGACCGCTTCGTTCTGCCGGTTCTGCATGGGGGGGAAGGATCGTGGGCAGAACTTGAAAGGCAATGGTAACACACACACACAAACCCCGCCGCCCTCCAGGAGCTGAGCTTGGAGGTAAACAGGCAGCCTGGGCCCTTGCCAGAAGGCCGGCCTGGCCTGATCGCTGCGAGGAGGAACATTCCTCCCCCTCCCTCCTCCGGCAGCCGCTGCGAGGCTGCACTTTCGCTTTCACATCCTTTTATCAGGATGGCGGCGGGAGGGGGGGGCATCCGGGTGTGGAGGGCCACCTGCCAAATCAGGCTCTGAAAGGGCAGGCCTCAGCGTAAAAGGACACCAAAAAGTCCCCTGGGCCCACCTCAAAGACGAACCAGATGTATTTCGGTATCTACTTCCTTGAGGAATTGAGCCGTGACCGAAACAAAGGTTAAGTCTTTCAGGTGTCACGGGAGTTTTGTCTTATTGTGCCACAACAGTCGGCTACCCCTCCGCTAGCTAGCACACCGGCCAAAGTGGGGGGAGGGTGCCGTGCGCCACAGGGGGAATCTGCACTCCCCTCCAAAGACCCAATATGACCAATGCGCCCTCTAAGCTCTGGAGTCTTGTGAGCAAAAATTCTACTTTGTGAGCTCCTGGCATTAAAGTTGTGAGTGAGTGATTTGGCCACTGCATCCCTTAGTTTGCTCTGGAGCCATCTTTCTTGACCTAAGACAAAAATATGTGAGCTGGGGGCTAAAAAACCGTGAGCTAGCTCACACTAACTCAGCTTAGGGGGAACACTGGACGTGACCACACTCCCTAACTACAAATACGCCCTTCCAGAGGGGAGGCAGGGGCAAAGCGTAGAGAAGGCATAGAGAGGTGGCACAGATCAAGCATGGATAAAAGATGCTCTTATCTGCACTTTAATCAGGGTTGTGCCTCTTTGATGTGTCAATTACTCTGCCAACAGATCCTAAAGTGTTCCCCCCCCCCCCCCCCCCTGCCCTTGGTTGCCCGCCCCCG